AAACTTAAAAAAAAAGCAAAAACAAACAAAAAAGACTATGTAGGAAGACAGGCAGATGGTTCGTCAGGCGAGTGACTATCCTGCTTATCTTTTTTTTTTTTTTCTTTTTTTTAGTTTTTCGAGACAGGGTTTCTCCGTAGCTTTGGAGCCTGTCCTGGCACTAGCTCTTGTAGACCAGGCTGGCCTCGAACTCACAGAGATCCGCCTGCCTCTGCCTCCCGAGTGCTGGGATTAAAGGCGTGTGCCACCACCGCCCGGCTAGTGACTATCCTGTGAGGATGGGTCCCTAGCACCCACAGAGGCCCAGAGTAGATATTGTAACCCCAGCATGGGGAAGGGGCAGGCCGAGACAGTCCCCAGTAGCTCACTGGCCAACATGTCCAGCCAAATGGATAGACTCCAAATTTAGTGAGAGACTTTGTCTCAAAAAATAAGGTGGAGAATTGAGGAAGACACCCAGTGTTACCCCCAACACACAGACATACACAAAACTCAGGAGCAGAGACAGGCGGATCTCTGAGTTCCAGGCCAGCCAGGGCTATACAGAGAAACCCCGTCTCAAACAAACAAAAATCAAACAAGGACAAGCAAGACCCCATGCAGGGAAGCCTTTCACCCTAGAGCTTTGGAGGTGGAGGCAGAGGATCTATCAGGAATCTGAGGCCAGCCTTGGCTATATGTTGAGTTTAAGGCCAGCCTGGGATACAGGAAACCTTATCTTTTTTAAAAAAACAAGATAGGTATGGTGACACACATCTTCAACCCCAACACCAGGGAGGCAGAAGCAGGTGGATCTCTGTGAGTTCCAGGCCAGTCTGGTCTGCACAGGAAGCTCTAGGCCAGCCAGGGCTACACAGGGAGATCAGGTCTAAAGTACAAAGAAACAAAGCTACAAAAAGCAAAAAGAATCTGTGTAAGGGCTAGGGGTATAACTCAGCTGTACAGCATTTGCCTAGCTAGTGTACTAGGCAGGGGTTTGATCCCTAGCACTGAATCAAAGAAAAAAAACCCTATAAAATACTTTGTTGGCACAGTAGATTCCCAGTAACTTTTGACACTCATGAGCACCTCCTGTGATTCCTAGCTCCTCTGGGAAGGAAGAAATTCCATCGTCTAGGCTGAGGGTCTTATAAAAGGAGATAATGGTGTCTCGTAGACTCAGGAGGGAAGGCTACGTATGCCTGGGAAATTAGGATTTCAACATCTTAGCGGAGCTCTAAGCTGAGGAAGTATAAAAGGAGGGTCAAAGCTGATGGAGCGGGAAAACATTACAGTAAAGAAACCAGCAGGAAAGCTAGTGTGCGCAGGCAACAAGCACCTGGTACGGAGAAGCAGTTGTGTAATGGCGGTACCCAAACTACACCTGAAGGAAAAGCCCCCAGTGGATGGTGAGCCCAGGGAGGACAGCTGGTGGCCCAGCATCTGCCTCACTATCCCTCTTCTTTTCTCTCCCAACCTAGATCAGCCCCGAGGAGGAAGAACGCCGCAGAGTGAGGCGTGAACGCAACAAGCTAGCAGCGGCTAAGTGCAGAAACCGGAGAAAGGAACTGACAGACTTCCTACAGGCGGTGAGCATCAGGGGGGCCAGAGGGTTCCCAGGAGCACGAGAAACCCAATAGATCACTCCTCCACACCCCACCCTCCTCCCTGTCCGAGGGGAAGTCCTGGGAAAAGGATAAGGAAATGGGGATTAAAAATTATTTGCCCTCCAAAACCACAGAGAAACCCTATCTCGAAAAACCAAAAAAAAAAAATAATAATAATAAAAATAAAAATTATTTGCCACCGGGAGGTAGTGGCACACGCCTTTAAGCCTTTAATTCCAGCACTCAGAAGACAGAAGCAGGCAGATCTCTGAGTTTGAGGCCAGCCTGGTCTACAGAGCAAATTCCAGGACACCCAGGGATATTACCCAGATAAAGCCTGTCTCAAATAATTTGCCTTGGGTCTCGAAGCAGAGATGATGTTGACAGGCAATTCTGCTGAAGCCCTGGACCTGCCAGGCCATGGTGGTGCATACTTTTAATCCCAGTACTCGGGAGGCCCGAGTTCCATGCCAGCCTGGTATATAAAGCGAGTAGAGAAAACAGAGAAATCTTGTCTTGAGAGGGGAAAAAAAAAAAAAGAAAAAAGAAAAAGAAGCAGCCCTGGGCCTGATAGGAGTCATGCCCATTTTCTCTCAGGGTCTCATGGGAGTTGCAGTTCAGACTTACTGGGGACTCCAGGCACAACCCCCACACTCCAGCCTGAGGCTTGGCGATCTTTCACCCTCCTAAATTTCTCCTAATCCTCTAAAGGAGACTGACAAACTGGAGGATGAGAAATCGGGCCTGCAGCGGGAAATTGAAGAGCTGCAGAAGCAGAAGGAACGTCTTGAGCTGGTGCTGGAAGCCCATCGCCCCATCTGCAAAATCCCCGAAGAAGATAAGGACACGGGTGGTACCAGCGGTACCAGCGGCGCCAGCAGCCCACCAGCCCCCTGCCGCCCCGTACCTTGTATCTCCCTTTCTCCGGGGCCTGTGCTTGAACCCGAAGCACTTCATACCCCCACGCTCATGACCACACCCTCTCTGACTCCCTTTACTCCTAGCCTGGTTTTCACCTACCCTAGCACACCAGAACCTTGCTCCTCAGCTCATCGAAAAAGTAGCAGCAGCAGCGGAGACCCCTCCTCTGACCCCCTGGGTTCTCCCACACTCCTGGCTTTGTGAGTTACCCAGCCACACCCCTTGCCGATGCACCCCAGTCATCTCCTTCCTTCCATTGATCCAGCAGGCCTGGACCATCCGCACGCCCCGAACCAGCAGGTCCTTTATCTCTTCAGAGTAGAACAAACTGTTATGCTTCGATGTGGAGCCAGCTGGGGGGGGGGGTGTCCCCAAAGCTGCTCATTGTATCTCTAGAGCTGGCCTATCATAATTTGCACAAAATCAGACAAAACATGTCCCCTTGGGGCCTGGAGCCCTAACCCCTTTCGGACAGACTGCTCTCACACTATGTCACTTTCTTCATTTGATCCAGCCAGCCCCGCTCCCAGACAGGTGCCCTCCCACTAGAACACTAACTCACACAGCTCCACTGCCAGCAGCACCAGGGCATCCTGCAGGCGCCTCCTGCATGGCACAACTCAGGAGGCACCGGTGGCTTCTGTGATGAGCTGAGCTTGCACTCCCTAGCTTTGAGAAGCCTTTAGTTCCAGGGTATCCAAGCCTCCACATCAGGGGCAGCTGCTATTTATTTTCCTAAAGAGACTATTTTTATACAAACCTTCCAAAATGGAATAAAAGGCTTGAAGCTCTAGTCTGAGTTGTCATGTTGGATCCAGAGGCTAGAGGAAACCGTTTGGAACAGGAGCTCTAGGTTCCAGCCTCAGCTGTGACCTTGAAGAAACCACCATATATTTTTGAACTTCTATATCCCATCTGAAGAATGGGGATACCTCTGCTGTGCTTCAACTCCTGTACTGAGACTGAGAATGCTCCGGAGTACAAGCAAACAAGATTATCAGTTTTCCCCCGGGGAGACCCACACTGCTCCTATCTTAAGGACTGGGGGCAGGGAGGGGCTGTGTTATACCCTTCCACCTTCCGAACAGGCAGCCAGTGGGCTTGAGGCCCCCAACACCTGCTTCCTGCCCCATTGTTTTTGACAGGAAGGAGCCTGGAAGGGAGCTGGAGCCACTTCAGGGGCCGGATTTTGGGCTGTGTTGGCGCCCGTGGGGGAGTTAGTGGTCTACCACTGTCTTAAATCCCACCCCAAACTCCAGGTAATGAGTTCTGCAGTCCCTCAGGATGGGAATTGCACCGCGTCTTTGGGTTTCCGCCCTCTTCCCAACCCCGGCGATATGCAGATATAGGCTGGCCAGGCTTCGGGCTCTGCTTCCTTCTCAGTTTATTAGTCCCCACCCAACCACCCATTAAGTCCCTCCACTTCAGCCTCCATTCCCCTACTGCCCTGCCAGCAAGAGCAAGGGGCCCTCCTCAGTGCCAGGGCTTTTTCAGTCCATGCCAGCGCCCTGGTGCTCAGCCGAAGCAGCGACCAGGTCTGGCGGTCCACAGAAGTCTCCGTGCTCAGGGAGCAATTCAGGCAGGCGTTGGCGTAGAAAATGTGGCGCCCTCAGTCATCGGGGGAGCAGGCTAGAGGCAACTGATCTGGGCTGCCCACACTGCCAGTGCTGGAACTTCCATCGCCTAAGTCGCGGGGCCCGCACGGGGGCAGGGCGAGCTCGGGTGTGGGCCCGGCGCCTGAGCCCACTGCACTGCCGGGGCCACCGCGGGGGCCCCACTCTTCGCCCAGTGCCAGGCAAAGCTCCTTAAGCGCCAGGTTTTCCCGCAGCAGCTCCTCCTGGCGGCCTTCCAACTCGGCTAGCTTTTGCCAACAGCCACCCAGGTCCTCGCGCACCGCCCGGGATGCTTGGGTCCCGAAGAGCTGCCACTGGCGCGCTGCACGCCGTCCCCGCTGGCGCTCCGAGTCCAGGAAGCAGCAGAGATCGCGCAGCTCCCGGTTCTCCGCCTGCAGGCGCCGGTTGAGCTGTTTGAGCTCACGGATCTCGCCCAGGTGACCCTGCAGCTGCCGATTCACCTCCTGCATCAGGCGGCCGCGCTGCACCAGCGCTGCCAGCCGCGCTGCCTCCTCCCGCCGCAGGCGCCGCACCAGCTCCTCCTTACCCAACGCCGCCATCTCCTCGTCCGTCAGCTCCTCCAGGCCTCCTGCTTCGGCCTCCATGGCTGATCAGGCAACTGCAGCATCGCCCGCCCGCCGCCGAGGCTCTGGAGCCCTTCCTCGGGCCGGTTGCCGCTCAGGCTCCGACCCGGGCTCTGGCTCTGAGGATGGCAAGCTGTGGAGGAGGCAGCGTAGGATGCAGCAGCCACCCCGGGGTGGGCACGAGGCAGGGCGCGCGCCGGGGCGGGGCCTCTTGATGTTGAAGAAGGACAGCCAATCCGGAAAGTCTCTTGGGAAGGGGCGGAGCCTAAGGCTATAGCGCTCGTCTCTTCCCACTCCGTTGGGTGTCACGACCCTCTAAAAGTAGGGACCTTTTCTGTCCTTCCCTTCTATGGTCATCTCCGCAGAACATAAAGGCGTTGTGGGATTCCATGTCCCAAATCTCCTCAAGCACTTTTTGAGAACTGATGTTCAGGTGTCTGCCTTTGACTCCTGCCCACCCAGCAACAGAACTTAAACAGATGGCTTCCCAGGCTCTTCTTCCTTAGCCAAAACTCTCAAGCATCACTCCCAGCTACTCCGAATCCAGAGTCCAAAGGTCCTGGCTCATTATCAACCAACCCTCCCTCCCACGGAGCGTTTCCTGCCTGCCATATGGGCCATACAAAGAATATGTTTGTTTAATAAACTTTTGTTGTATGAAAGGCCTTGTGCAGAAATAAATTTGACCAGAATCTTCATCTTGACCAAAAAGGTCAAAATCTGGCAAAAGAAGAAAAAAAGGAAAGAGCTGTGTGTGGGGGCTGGAGACAGCTCAGAAGTGCTGCTCCAGGAAAGAACCTGAGATAACCCAGCCTTCACTCCTCCCGGGGAGGCTCACAGCCAGTTGTGAGGGCTGTGAACCTCCATGGGCACACACAAAAAATCTAAAATAAGAAAATCTTTTAGGCAAGGGGGGGAGAGCATCCAAGTGCACACTGAACACATGGCTCAGCGCTAAAGCACTTCCCTAGCAAGGCCCTGGTACATTTGCGAGCCACAAGAGAAGGATGTGATGTAGAAGTGGTCTCTGGGAAAGTATTTCCCAAGAAGGAAATACCTGAAAGATGCCTAAGACTGCTAACAGAGTTCCAGGACAGACAGGGCTATCTCAAAGACAACGCAGAAGATTGCCAACAGAGAGAACGGATGTGAGAGAAGGCAGGAAGTGTGGTAAAAGACATTGATGCCCCCAAGAGCCCAGCTGCGTGAGGAACAGTGAGGATAGTTCTGAGATCTTGATAAGTGTAGGTAAATGGAAAGTGGGGAGATGGCGGGGCTCTGAAGAGCTGGGTGTGCTGCCTAGAAGTCAAATTCTTAAGGACTTGCAATGCCAAACTGGAGGCTTTCCAAAGGCCAGTAAAAATTTTAAACAGGGAGCCAGGTAGTGATGGCGCATGCCTTTAATCCCAGCACTAGGGAGGGGAGGCACAGGCAGGTGAATCTTTGTGAGTTCAAGGCCAGCCTGGTCTACAGAGCAAGTTCTAGGACAGCCAAGGACTACACATATGAACCCTGTTTTGAAAAATAAAAACAAACAAATAAATAAATTTTAAACAGGGAAATGACATTTTAAAATGTTTTGCCTTGTTTGATATAGGGTCTCAATATGTAATCCTGGATGGCCTGAAAGTGTCTATGTAGACCAGCCTGACCTACAATTCACAGGAATTACAAACATGAGCCACCTAGGAAAATATACATTTTTAGAAGACTGTTAAAAGAAGCCAGTTGTATTGGCAAATGCCAGTAATCCCAGCACTAGGAATGGAGTGTGGGGCGGGGAGGGGGGAGGCAGGAGCATCAGGAATTCCGAGTCATCCTTCCCATAACAAGACCAGTCTGAGCGGTTGGAACAGACTTTGTCCCCCCAGCCCCAAAAGAAGCCTTCAACTGCGCTATGTGGGGCAGACTCTGGCAGCAGGGTGTTCACAGGATGAATACCTATGTATCAATGAACAGAGAGAGCTGTGTAGGAAGACTAGGCTGCCAGTCGGTGGGCGGGGAGGAAGAAGCAGATACCAGAGGCACCCAGCAGGCACATGACAGCTCTGAGTGCTTCCAGGGAGGAATCTGGAAAACAGCCCATGTTTCTAGAACTGAGAGGATGCTGACTGGGCGTGAGAGAGATCTCTCTAGAGACCCTAGGGGACAGAAGTGGAGGGGGAGACCTGGCCTTGTTAACCAGGACCTGCAGAACCTCCTGTCTTCTAGGCTCTCACTAGACTGGCTTGTGTAGAGCCTTTTAATTTATGTTTTCCCATGACAAGATTTCCCTGTGTAACCCTGATTGCCCTGAAAAAACTCACCGTAGGCCGGGCTGGCCTCGAACACCACCTGCCTCTGCTTCCGGAGTGTTGGGATTAAAGGTATGCGCCACCACATTGCTGTTATGGCTGGCTTTTTGCCCCCCTCTGAGGCAGGATTTCTCTGTGTGTACCACTGGCTATCACAGAACTTACTCTCTCTAGACCAGGGTGGCCATGAACTCAGAGATCCACCTTCCTCATCATGAATTCACAGAGCTGTGCCCTGTGCCCTGGTCTCTTCAGGGCTGATTTTTTTTTTTTTTTTAGTATAATAGGGGGTTATTTATTTGGGGATAGACTCACGGATCACAATCTTCTGCTGGAACAGGCAACAGCAACCAAATCCCCACTGATGTATCTTCTGGTAGCGAGATCAGATCTCCTTGCTGGCCAGGTAGCTCGCAAACAAAAGGCCTACCTTCCAGGACTGACTCTTTTCTTTGTTTTTGGTTTTCAAGACAGGGTTTCTATGTGTAACAGCCCTCGCTGCCCTAGAACTAGCTCTGAAGACCAGGCTGGCCTCGAACTCACAGAGGTCCGCCTGTCTCTACCTCCCTTAAATTTATTTATTTATTTATTTATCTATATGTATATAGTGTTCTGCTTGCTTGATGCCCGCTGGCCAGAAGAGGGCATTCCAGATGGCTGTAAACCACCATGTGATTGCTGGGAATTGAACTCAGGACTTTTGGAAGAGCAGGCAGTGCTCTTAACATCTGAGCCATCTCTAGCCCCAGAGCTGACTCTTCTTTTGTTTGTTTTTTATTATTTTCAAGACAGATTTCTCTGTAGCTTTGGAGCCTGTCCTAGAACTAGCTCTTGTAGACCAGGCTGGCCTTGAACTCACAGAGATCCGCCTGCTTATGCCTCCTGAGTGCTGGGTTTAAAGGCATGCACCACCACCGCCCGACCCAGGGCTGACTCTTATCTTAAACACTGGGTATTTGAAAATAAAATGAGTCCTTTTTTGTTTGGTTTTGGATTTTTGAGACAGGGTTTCTCTGTGTAGCCTTGGGTGTCCTGTAACTCACTCTGTAGGTCAACCAGGCAGGCCTCAAACTCAGAGATACACCTGACTCTGCCTCCTTAGTGGTGGGATTAAAGATTTTTTTTTAATAATTAAAAAAGTAAATTATACTTAGGTGTATGTGTAACAGTGCATGTGTGGCGGTCAGACGACAACTCGTTGACGTTGCTTTTTTTACACAGTGTGGGTCCTGGAGATCGACCAGTCAGGTTTGGTGGCTCCTGTGTCGAACACAAAGAAGACAGTGGAAAGCCTTAGCAGATAGATGGCCCTGCAGATGCCTGCTTCCATGAAGAAAAACTTTAAGAGAAGTCACAGCTTGTGTGGGGGTGTAGTAAGTGTTGAAAAACCATAGTGGGGGCTGGAGAGTTGGCTCAGTGGTTATGAGCAAGAACTGCTCTTGCAGAGGAGCTGAGTTCAATTCCCAGCACCCACATTGGCGACTTCCAGTTGTCTGTAATTCCAGCTCCAGAGGATCTGATACATCTGATCTCCCAGGGCAACTGTACTCACATGCACATACCCCCCCCACGCATACATATAGTTCAAAATAATAAAAATAAGATACATGGCGGGAACAAGAAAGATGCTCATCTGTCTGATGGACTAGCAAGCAGAGCCACACGCACTCAGCGATTTAGGATAAAGCCTCAGAAAGATTCTAATTTAGGACACAGGCCAAAATTGGGAGACTCTGAGAGAGTTGAGAAGATGGAAGAGACAAAAGGAGGAAATGGGAGAATCTGTAAGACAGGCGAGACTGGGAAAAGGCTTTCCGGAGTTCTACAGAGACCCTCCAGAGGGGTGAGAAATGAGGGCAGGGCAGCTTCCTCCTACCACTCCGTCCCGGAAGTGGTCCTTCGCAGGCTCCGGGTGCCCGGAGCGAAATCTCCGCACTCCCGGAAGTGGCTCTACGGCTGCTTGCCCGGCCCAGGGCCGTGCTAGCTCCAGCTCTGGGCGAACCCGGCCCGGGCATCGCCATGACCAGCGAGCTAGACATTTTCGTGGGGAACACGACCCTTATAGATGAAGACGTGTATCGTCTCTGGCTGGATGGTTACTCAGGTCTGTGTAGCGCCCTCCCAGGAAGCGGTTGTTTTGGGTGGGAGAGGGGGCGTGGCTAGGATTCAGGCTTCACTTAGGGAAGTGGACTGTCTGCTGGGAGTCAGGGATGGAGAAAGATTGGAGCTAGAGCCCCTGGAGGGACCCTGAGTACAGCAGGGTGGGACCTTATGGTAGTGCCCTCTCCCTAGTGAACGATGCAGTGGCGCTGCGAGTACGGTCCGGGATCCTGGAGCAGACCGGCGCCACCGTAGGAGTGCTACAGAGCGACACCATGGACCACTACCGCACCTTTCACATGCTCGAGCGTCTGCTGCACGCGCCACCGAAGCTGCTGCACCAGCTCATCTTCCAGATCCCTCCCTCCCGACAGGCGCTCCTCATCGAGAGGTGCTCACCTGGGGGACGGCGGGAATGTCAATCAGTTCGACTTTATAGCCACTTTGCAGGGTGAAACTGAGGCTCAGGGAGGATGGGACACACCCAGGAAATCAGAAAGTTAAGAACAGAAGGAACCAACCCCAGACTTCCTTCCCCTTTCTTAATGGATCACCAATAATGTCCTATGCCTCCACAAGGTACTACACCTTTGACGAGGCCTTTGTTCGGGAGGTCTTGGGCAAGAAGCTGTCCAAGGGTACCAAGAAAGACCTGGATGACATCAGCGCCAAAACAGGAATTACGCTCAAGAGCTGCCGGAGGCAGGTTGGTTCCACATATTCCATCCCCCCCACCTAGCCCACCACTTGACCTTCTCCTCACTGCCCTAGCTCCCAGTGCCCTGGCTCCACTTCCAGCCTGTGATTGTGGAAGCGGCTTCTTCCTGTGGAGTCTCTTCTCCATCCACTTCCCATCTGGCCAGAGTGGCTTTCACAGTCTCAGTTCAGACCGTGGCTTTCCCTTGCTTATACGTGGTTTTCATTGACTCCTGTTATCCTCGACCTTCAGACTCTGGGTGGGTCCCCGCAGACCTCTCTAGGCTTACATTTCTCGAACCCCAAGCTTGATTTTGCCGAGAAGGTACCGTTTTCTTCACCATATCTACCCCTTGGAATCCACCGCAGGGAGCTAGGTGCTATCTTATCTATGCACCTTTTTGGTAGCATCTGTGGTAGTATCCATGAGCCTTTTCTTCAAGGGAGAAGTACCAGGATGTAAAGTGGTCTCAGGTGACTGTAAGTCTGACAGGCAGACCTCTGTCAGTTTGAGGCCAACTTGGTCTATATAGTGAGTTCCAGGACAGTCAGGACTACACAGTGAGACCTTGTCTCAAGACAAACAAAAGCCCAAGTCATTTGTTGAAGGAGTAACTAGTGTGAAATCAGTACATGCCCACTGGATAGGTGGAGAGGAGAGGGAGAGGTCCCGCACCATGCCCAGCACCCTGACTAGCCTCCTCCTTCCCAGTCCATGCCCAGCACCCTGACCAGCCTTCTTCCCTTAACTGCCCTACAGTTCGACAATTTTAAGCGAGTCTTCAAGGTGGTGGAAGAAATGCGGGGCTCCCTGGTGGACAACATTCAGCAGCACTTCCTCCTCTCTGACCGCCTAGCCAGGTGAGGGGCAGCCCTCTCCTGCCCACATCGCTTACTTGAGCCCTTAGACTGGCACACCTTCCCCATCCGTACCCTTTCACCTTCTGACTGTTTTGGAGGAAGGATTATTCTACTAATGACCTGTAAACTGCTTCAAATTGATCAGGGTTAAGGCATTTGTAAAGCATTTAAAACATGCTTGGGTCGGACAGTGGTGGCGCACGCCTTTAATCCCAGCACTCGGGAGGCAGAGGCAGGCGGATCTCTGTGAGTTCGAGGCCAGCCTGGTCTACAGAGCTAGTTCCAGGACAGGCTCCAAAGCCACAGAGAAACCCTGTCTCGAAAAACCAAAAAAAAAAAAAAAAAAAAAGTTATTTCTTAAGCTTACTGTGTATAGAGAATGTATTTGTGTGACAAGGTGACATTTCTGGTCCTGAGAGCCACTGTCCTGTCTGCAGAGATTACTGTGTATAGAGAATGTGTTTGTGTAACAAGGTGACATTTCTGGTCCTGAGAGCCACTGTCCTGTCTGCAGAGATTATGCAGCTATCGTCTTTTTTGCCAACAACCGCTTTGAAACAGGAAAGAAAAAGCTACAGTACCTAAGCTTCGGTGACTTTGCCTTCTGTGCTGAGCTTATGATCCAGAACTGGACCCTTGGAGCCGTCGGTGAGGCCCCTACTGACCCAGGTGCCTGAACATTCCCTACCCTCTTGGGGACTGATTCCCTGCCAGCAGCTCTTCCTGTAGCTTCCTCAGTACCCAGCATCCTTCAGCCCTCAGCCCCGGGCACCTCTCCATATAGTCCATTCACTCCGCATGCACCTTGTCGCCACTGTGTGGCCTGGGGCATAGCATTCCCCTCCATCTCTGGGATCCCAGGGAGGGAGTGCAGGGGAGGTTCAGGACCTCAGAAGATGGGTTCTCATCACCCACAACTTCTTTCATGGTCTCCGCAGACTCCCAGATGGACGACATGGATGTGGACTTAGACAAGGAGTTTCTCCAAGACTTGAAGGATCTCAAGGTTCTCGTAGCTGACAAGGACCTTCTAGACTTGCATAAGAGGTGACTTCGGGGATCCATGAGACAGGGTATAGAATGGTCTCCAGTGGCTATAGGTGTGACCATATCTTCCTACAGCCTGGTGTGTGCTGCCCTCCGGGGAAAGCTGGGTGTCTTCTCTGAGATGGAAACCAACTTCAAGGTCTGTGACCCTGTCCAGGCCCTTCCCCCTAAAGTGTCAGGAGCCTTCTGTGTTCTGTCCCTGCTGGGCAACTCTGCTCATGCCCGAAATTGACCAGCAGGTGGCACTGCTGCTCTCTCTCTGCCTATGAGGGGGAACCAAGCTCATAACCAAAGGGACTTGATTGAGGGAGGTGGATAGATTTGGGGAGGGGCCTGGCCCTCCCCCAGCCTCAGTGCTCAGCCTCCAGCTTCTGGGGCAGAAGACAGAACTCCCAAGATCCCTGCCCCACAGAATCTGTCCCGGGGGCTGGTGAACGTGGCTGCCAAGCTGACCCACAATAAAGATGTCAGAGACCTATTTGTGGACCTTGTGGAGAAGGTGAGCAGTCCCGCCTCCACCCCACCCCATCCCCAGCCTGTCCTGTCTCTGAGCATCTCTGCTGATGTTACTTGTTCTCTCGGGCCTACAGTTTGTGGAACCCTGCCGCTCTGACCACTGGACACTGAATGACGTGCGGCTCTTTCTCAACCAGTATTCAGCGTCTGTCCACTCCCTGGATGGCTTCCGGTGAGAGGTGCCAGGCCTGCTGGCTAACTTATTTGCCCTCCAGTAGACTCAGAGTTTGCTATTGAACTACCCTGTGGGTGGAAGTTCCCGCTCTTCTTTGTCCCCTTCCTTTCTGTCCTTCCTTTCTCAGATGTAAGCTGAGGATAAACCAGGAGGCTCATAAGACTTTATGGACACCAACTAGCCTAGGGCGTGACGGTGACAGTGTGCTCATCCACCGTGCGCAAGGCCCGAGTTCAGTCCTCTGCACTGTGCGGGGAGTGGGGAGAGGGAAGCCAGGCATAAGGGCTCAAGTCTGTAATCCCAGTACTTCGGAAGCTGGAGCATGAGGATTGCCACTGTTTTCCAGGCCAGCCTGGCCTATAGAATGAGACTCTGTCTCCAAAAACAAACTATCGAAAAAAAATTTATATATCTGTGTGTGTGTGCATACACACATGACTTCTTGGTGTGCAGCGGTCTAAAGAGCACTCGTAGCAGTGTGTCAGGCACGGTGTTGAGTGAATGTCAACTATCACTGTTGTCATTTTCATGCAGGCACCAGACCCTCTGGGACCGCTACATGGGTACCCTCCGTGGCTGCCTTCTGCGCCTCTATCATGACTAAACAGGACTAAAAGCCCTTGCCCCTCCCCCCTCCCGCATACCCTGACAATAAAGTTGCCATACGTTTGGAGACTGGTCCTCGTTCCAGGTTGAGGAGCTCATGGGGACTTTCACAGTGTGCACCAATGTGTTCCAAGGACCACTAGTGTTGAGGGTGTTTGTACTAGCACCTCAGGGACTGACGGGATCGTGACCAGATGAGGTCTTCATACCACACCCTCCCTCTCCACATCCCAGCTAAAACCACTCAGGAGCCAGGGATCATATCTGGGTTTATGAAGCCATACAGAGAGGATGGAGAAGCCAGGAAGAACCTCAGAGTCAGGCTGACGAGGGCAGTGGCCAAGCGGGAGAGGCTGAGGGGTTGCTGCTGGCCTCAAGGTGGGCAAGAGATTGGTGACTTCTTAACCGGATGGTCCACATGAGCGGTGATTGGGTACTTGGTGATACCACAGCTGTTGTTTCCCCGGTATAGCCTGAAGTAGCCCTAGGAAATTAGGGGGTGTCAGTGCCAGAAGGCAGAGAAGAAATTAGCCTGCCCCTCCCCCACCCCCCTCCCCTCACCTTCTCGCCCCATTCAGCTCCCCAGGAGTTCTTCAGGATCCAGTATGGGACAGAGCGGCGGGGTTTGCGAGCCTGGGACAAGACTGTCCCTGACTGTGTGCCCTCCTCCTTGTCTCTGCCAAAACCCACCAACAGGACAGAATGGTCCACGTGCTGGGGATCACAGTTAGTGTGCGTGGCCTTGATCACACCCTTCTGGTAACCCTGCAGGGTAGGGGATAGAGGAGCTGAGTCCAGGGCCCACTCCATTCTGCCCCTTCTCTGCCCCCTGCCCCACCCACCTGGAGTAGCTTCATGTTGATAGTCACGGTGATGGGGCCATGGAGAGCCAGGTAGCCTGCAATCACTGGAAATGGGTAATTACTAGAGATTCTTGAGTGTGCCACCAAGCCCTGCCTGCCCCGAGGCTGCTGCTCTCCTCACAGGGGAATGGACTTTAATTGTGTCTCCCATAGCCAGGCCTCCAACCTGCTTTCTCTGCCCCCAGCACCCATGTCCACCCTGACCATACCCTGTTCGTTACTCTTTAACATGGTGAAATCTTGGATCCAGGCCACCTTCTTGTACTTCTTGGCTAGACACCCACGGGGGCTGGGGCGCCCCTGGAATGGGTAATCCTTTTTGCTGGCCAGGCCACCTGAAGACAAGCAAGACCAGGAAGGAGGCTTGGCTACTAACACCCTCCATCCCCACAGTCTCCCCACAAGTTCTGGTACTCAACTGTTGTTGAGGACAGTCACATATGCGTCCCACACAAAACCACCCTGGCAGCCATTTCCACAGCGGTCACAGTCCAGGAGCTCTGAGACAGAAAGGGACAGAGTTATGTGAGCAGGCCCCTAGGCCATCTTTCCCTGTCACCCATCTCCCTGCCATACCCTGCACAGAGACTTCCACAAGCGGGTCGTGTTTGATGCGCCACAGGGCCTCGATGTTGTCCGCTGCTGCCATGGCCCAGCAGCACCTGCAGGATTCCTGAGTGGGAAGAGGGTGGGGCGGGGTAAGGTATCAAGGCCTGGACCTCATCCCCCCCTCCCCCAGGGCAGATTGGGCAGATACCTGGTTCTTGATGGATGAGATGATGTTTGTTGCCTTACGCCAGTCACAGCTGGAGGGCACCGGTCCCCCCAACTTTTCAGACCCTGCCTTTTTGACCACGTTGGGGATCCTTTCAGGCGCCCTCTGATGACTGTAGAGCTGGCTAAACTCCTCCTCTGGGGACAAACAAGGTCACGGAGGTCACAGATTTGACGCTTATATATTATCCCTTTCCAGCTGTCACAACCTTGGCTTGTCCCATCCCTATGAAACGTTCAGAGGCAACAGGCAGGATGAGGCCTAGAGAGGTCCAGTTTGCATCTTCCACCTCTGGCCTGTGAGCCAAGCTGGGACACAGGCCATCGAGTTCCTGTCTTGTGCTCTGAGATTTGGGGCAGTCACCCAGGCTGCTCTTTAAAGGGGGAGACTTGCTCTGTCCATCTGCCAGACACCCCACCCACCCACTCTGGGCCAGGAGGGTCTGGTACCTGTGAGGTCACTGAATGGAGTCTCCCCAAACTCTGCTGTGCCCAAGTCTTCCTCCTGCAGTCTTTGAGCCTGGGCCAAGTTGTGGGCAAAGATGTCCAGACGGCGAGCATATTCTAGACCAGAAAGGGGTTTTTGCAGGCTAGTCTCGGGGCAGGAAGTGGCCACTGGTTGGGTCACCCACACTCACCCAGGTGAGTGCTAGCTCTTTCCTCTAGCCCCCACCACTACCACCCCACTGTGAAAAAGTGATTATCCAGCCCACATGGGGTTAGAATTTCCCCCAGTGGCACCAAGAGGCCCACTCTAGGGGGAAGCTGAGTAAAACCTCTATAGGCACTATCTCAGAAAGGAAAGTTAGAGGGCTGGAGAGATGATTCAGAGGTTAAGAGCACTGGCTAGTCTTCCAGAGGACCTGAGTTCAATTCCCAGCAACCACATGGTGGCTCACAACCATCTGTAATGAGATCTGGTGCCCTCTTCTGACATGTAGGCAGACATGCCAACAGCATGTTGTATGCATAATAAATAAATAAATCTTAAAAAAAAAAAGGAAAGTTAAAATGGCTGGAGATGGGTTTCCTGTACCTGTGGTTATACCTTCCCTGCCACCTCTTCACACATCTGACCACAGGTGGGGGTGAGTGAGTGGAGTGTGAAGATGGAGCATAGCACAGGCACACAGATACAAACACACACACACAAAGAGAGAGAGAAAGAGCCTTCTGTGGGAGATGAAACCCCAGAGTGAAGGGGAGAACAGCCAATAAACAGGGCAAGAATGGGGGACAGGGAGTTGCCACCTTGGAGACAAAATGAGTGTCCTTAGGGATTTGCTGACTGAAATATGACGGGACGGTGGTCCTCCACACCCGGCCTGGAGTCACAGGTATGATAGGACTGTGGTCCTCCACACCCGGCCTGGAGTCACAGGTGCTGGGCCCATCATACCTTGGGGAAGCCAAGGCGTACACTGCGGGCCCTGCTTCCCACTCTGGCCTGGGCCAGGTCTTCTCCCCTTCCCAAGCCATAAGGTCATCTCTTAAGTAGACAGAGGGAATGGGACTGGAAACATCTGTGCTCATGATACCTGCTTCGTTTGAGTAAGTCCGGTTGTATTTGATCTGGAACAGCTTGAAGACTTCTGTCAGCTCCAGTGGTCGGGGCCCGGCATCCTGACAAGGAGTCAAAGTGTGGGAAAGAATCATTGTAAACCCAACCTTGTACCCAACCAAGGTGCAAAGACAGGGCTAAGGGCTGCCCAGGCGTTCTCTTTTCTCAGTGTTAGCCTCATCTGCTCCCTCCGAGAAATGGGAAGGAAAAGTCACAGGACGGTTTACCCGTGTAATTGAATGCTCATTCCAGTATTTAAGAGGTTGAGGAGGGAAGACAGCTGAGAGTTTTAAGCCAGAGAAGAAGGCCAACCTGAGCTACAAAGTAATCCCCCCCCACCTTTTTTTTTAAGACAGTGTTTCCCTATATAACAGCCCTGTCTGTCCTGGAACTCACTGTGTAGACCAGGCTGGTCTCAGACTCACAGAGATCCTCCTGCCAACATTCCCTGTAAAATCTTGTTTTAAGAAAATTAAAAAGAAGAAAGATATGCCAGCTCATAAAGAGAAGACCCCAGGCACAGTTGGCAGGGAAGGGCATGGTGAGCAGGTCAGAGTATTTACCTTGAGGAGGGAGTCATTGCGGCCTTGGCCTGCTGCCAACAGGACCAGAAAGTAGGAGAGGTGGACAGTCAGTGTCATGGTGCAGCCGAGAGTGCTGGGGGGCAGGAAGCTATGCAGACCAAGTTGGAAAGGGCGGGGCTAGAGAAACCACGAGGGGAAACCAGGTTGGGGTGGAGGGTAGACCCTCCTCCACCCGCCTGGCTGACTAACTGTACCCCACCAACTTCTTTTCAATAGCAGCTCCTGACTACCCTGTTCCAGACAATTCTAGGGATGTAAAGACAAATCTCTCTTTAAGGAGACAGGGCGGCAGATCTAAGTGGACAGTGATGATGCCCACATGATGGGAAACTTAGACACCAGCCACAGTGCCCGGTGTTTGGACAGGAACGAGTGGTGATGGGCAGCCTTTAGGGACTCACTCTTGCTTTCTCTGTGAAACTCAGTCAGTGTAAGGGCCACCTTCTTAAAGAAACCTCCTCTGCTCGAGACCCCAGCCTCAGGTTAACAGATTATAGCCCCCTGAGCCATTTCAAACTTCTGCCCACTCATCTCCCAACCACACAGAAGTATCCAATCTGTCTGTGTCTAGATCACCCGGAAATGTGGGGCAGGCTCAATGAGTATTCAGTTTGTTTGGATTATTTTGTTTATTTGATGTTGTTGAGACAAGGTCTCACTATGGAACCCTGGCTGACCTGAAACTCGCCAGCTGTGTAGATAAGGCTAACTTTGAATTCACAAATACTTGCCTGTCTCTGCCTAAGTCCTGGGATTAAAGGCGAGCGCTACCATGCCAGGAAGTTTGGGGGTTCTTTTGTGAGGGAAGGAACAGAATCTCATGTAGCCCAGCCTGGCCTTAAACTCCATAGGTAAATAGGGAAGACCTTCAATTCCAGGCCTTCCTCTTTAGACTGAGCACTTTGGTTACAGACATCGGTGCATTTTAACTGACTGAAAACTTGTAGTTAGCTTCTGTCTCATTTTTCTTCCTTCATATGGTCTACGAATGAGGAGAAAGAAAGACGACAGAAAGTATCACAGAAAAAACAAGCCCAGGGGGCTGGAGAGATGGCTCAGTGGTTAAGAGCATTGCCTGTTCTTCCAAAGGTTCTGAGTTCAATTCCCAGCAACCACATGGTGGCTCACAACCATCTGTAATGAGGTCTGGTGCCCTCTTCTGGCCTGCAGACATACACACAGACAGAATATTGTATACATAATAAATAAATAAATAAATAAATAAATAAATAAATAAATAAATAAATATTTAAAAAAAAAAAAAGAAAGAAAGAAAAAGAAAAAACAAACCCAAAACTTGTGTGGCTGGGAGCTGGGCAGCGCCTTCAGACCTGTTAGCCTCCACCCCATATTGAGTATGTCCTTGGGCTAAAGAAGCTCCCCCCCCCCCAAACCGATCTCCAGACTGGGAAGCAGCAGCCAAGACCAGAGAGGTGCAAAGAGCTGGCTTTCCAGGGCCCATGGGTTGGGTGAAAGGGGAGGGGTCTGGCCCTGGGACTCACCCATTTTCATGTTTCCCACCTCCTCTCTTCTTTAGGAACTGCCTTAGAATTGTTATGTTCCATTAAACTCCATATTTCTCCTGGGGACAGGAAACTGCGGGACTATTTCAAAAATAATGCTGACAAGAAAGGAAAATAAATACGTAAAAAATAATGCCGTGTCCACGGATCGCTAAGCCAGTGGCCCTGGAGCCCAGTTGTATGCCCCCAAGTGGGTCTTGTGCTCTGTGGTCCCCATAGGTGCCCTGTGTTGTGGAAGGCTAACAGGAAGTGGCTGGGGGCTTTTTTGCTTGTCCCCTCCATCTCTCAGACATGAGCTCTGCAAGGACAGGTTTTGGTGAGTTTTGGTCAGTGCTGTATCCTTGGTGCCTGGGACCTCTGATCGTCAGTGGCCACTCAACAAGCCCTTACATGAATGAATGGCTCTCTCTCCCTTCTGACCACTTGTTCATATTTATCCTCTTGCTCCTGCCCAGCAACCAGCTGTGGCTGGGCTGGGAGCCCAGAAACCTCACTACTCATTCTTTTTTTTTTTTTTTTTTTTATGTTCATTGGTGTTTGACCTGCATGTATGTCTATGTGAGGGTGTCAGAAGCCTGGAACTGGAGCTACAGACAGGTGTCAGCTGCCATGTGGGTGCTGGGATTTGAACCCAGGTAGGTGCCCTGGAGGAGAAGCTAGCGCTCTTAACTGCTGAGCCATCTCTCCAGTCTGCTCCTTCTCATTCTAACATGGGACAAGGTTCAGTCTTAGAGTCAGGGGGACTTGATTCTAACATTGTTCTTGTTACTTTGGTGGCACTGAGGACAAATCTGCCAGCCCCTGTCATCTGTGGAGCAGAGTAGCAATGGTGTCCCAGCAGCTCTGGCTTGACAAGAGGATCACAGAGTGTCCTTGCCAGTGCCTGCCTGGGATGGTGAGGTCTCGATAATCAGGAGTTTTTATTTGAATTAATAACAGCTTTAGTGTGTGGTTATGGTGGCTCATGCCTGTAATTCCAGCACATGGGAGGCTGTGACAAGAGGCTTGCCGTGAGTTCAAGGCTAGCCTGGTTACATAGTAAGTTCCAGACCAGTGTGGGGAATGTGAGGCTGTTTCAAGCAGCACTAACAAACATAGTAACTGAGATATAAATCACTTACTATGCAATTTATCTGTTTGGTTTTGGTTTTGTTGTTTTGTTTTTTGATTTTTGATTTTGTTGTTGTTTTCAATACAGGGTCTCACTGTGTAGCTCTGGTTGTCCTGGACGCACTCCGTAGACCAGGCTAACCTTGAGATCTGCTGTCTCTGCCTCCTGAGTGCTAGAATTAAGTCATGCACCATCACTGTCCAACTGCGATTTATCTTTAATTTAAATATTAAATTTAATATTAAAATATTTAAAAGGGGGCTGGAGAGATGGCTCAGAGGTTAAGAGCATTGTCTGTTCTTCCAAAGGTCCTGAGTTCAATTCCCAGCAACCACATGGTGGCTCACAACCATCTGTAATGAGGTTTGGTGCCCTCCTCTGGCCAGCAAGCATACACTCAGACAGAATATTGTGTACATAATAAATAAATAAATATTAAAAAATATTTAAAAGGTTTATATATTACACATATATATGTGTATGTATTTATATATTTGAGACAGGGTCTCTCTTTGGAGACAAGGCTGGTCTCAAATTCACAGAGATCTGCTTGCCTCCACTTCCCAAGTGCTAGGATTAAAGGCGTGTGGCCAGGCCCTTTTTCTTTTATTTATTTTTCTTTCTCCTTCTGTGTCTCCACCAGCAGGGCTTTGAGACTGGCCTGATTGGGCAATGGGGAATGAAGAAATAGCTGACATGCACAGAGAAACCCTAGGGATCTGGTGGGCCATGTGTTCTGAGGGGACACACCAGCAGCCTTGGAAACTCAGGACAGTTTATCTCTTGAGCTGGAGGAGGAAAGTTAGCTAATCTCCTCAGAGGTCTCTGCAGGGGAGCAGTCTCAGGATGCAGTCATCTGGGCTTGCAAAATGCACACAAGGTCAGCATCTGCACTTGCTCACGGAAGGCCTCTGTCATTCCTCTGAGCCTGACCTGGAGAACGCCCTGCCATCTCCACAGTCTGACATGGCTGGGGTAATATCAGTAACACATGTTCACTGGGGACTTCATCCGTTCCCCACACTTTTTCCTTTCCCTTTCCTTTTCTTTTCTGTGCTTTGTTCTACTTCAGTGTGCGTGCGTGCGTGTGTGCGTGCGTGTGTGCGTGCGTGCGTGTGTGTGTGTGTGTGTGTGTGTGTGTGTGTGTGAGAAGTACTGGACCTGAACCTTGAGTCTTGGTCGTGCTAAACAAGCAGGTGCTACTGAGTTACTCTAGCCCTCTACTGCGTAAAAGACAAACTAAGACAGGACTGAAGAAATGACTCCAGTCTTCCTCTCAAGGACCTGAGTCTGGTTCTCAGCACCCACATCAGGCAGCTCACAACTGCCTTCAACTCCAGATCCAGGGGACACCTCTGTCCTCTGTGGACACCTGCACTCGGAGGTACACACCTGTACATAGACGCACACATATACACATTATTAAAAATTTATTATTTATTTATTTATTTATTTTGGTTTTTCAAGACAGGGTTTCTCTGTAGCTTTGGAGCCTGTTCTGGAACTAGCTCTTGTAGACCAGGCTGGTCTCAAACTCACAGAGATCTGCCTGCCTCTGCCTCCTGAGTGCTGGGATTAAAGGCGTGTGCCACCACCGCCCGGCTTTTTTTTTTTTTTTTTCCCAAAAAAAAGGCAGTGGAAGCTGGGGAGATGGCTCAGTGGGTAAAGTGCTTGCTACAGACACGAGGGAGGGCCTGAGCTCGGATCCCCAGCACTAGCATAAGAGCCGACTGTGGTGATGCCTCTCTGTAACCCCCGTGCTAGAGGGCCTGGGAGAGATCCTGAGAGCACACTGGCCAACCAGTCTCCTAGCTGACGTAGTGAACTCCAGATCCAGGGTCAAACCCTCCACAGAAGGTGGAGAGCAATAGCCTCCACTTGTACATAGGAACAAGAATATATTACACAGCCGGGCAGTGGTGGCGCACGCCTTTAATCCCAGAACTCAGGAGGCAGAGGCAGGCATATATCTGGGAGTTCGAGGCCAGCCTGGTCTACAAGAGCTAGTGCCAGGACAGGAGCCAAAGTTATAGAGAAACCCTGTCACACAGACAATTAAATGAACTGAAGCAGATTTTTTAAAAATTATTAATCATAGCAGAGCCGAGCATGGTAGCGCACACGCCTTTCATTCCGCAAAGGGCTCTTCCCCAAAATAAAATTGAGAAGAGGTTGGGTAAGGGAAAGGAAGGTAGGGCTATTGCCTCAAGCAGTCCTGGCCAGGCACAGGAACCCTGGACACGCTGTCCTTTCCCGTCTAGTCCCGCCCTGAGACGTGGGCAACGCGAAGTCCCTCCCATTCGCCCCTTCCTGGGAGCTAAGACACCCAGACTCCGCCTTTAAGGCATGATCTCTGCTGGGGACGGAGGCGGAAACTGGGTGGGGGACCTGGGTGGGAAGAGGGTCGGGAAAAGGCTGGCACCGGGCCCTAGTGTCCTCCGGGCCCAAGTTCAAGTCGGGGGCTTCTATTCAT